TTTTTATAAAAGAAACAAGATCTAGGCAAGATAATATTCTAATTCGAATACTTGTTTGTAGCTTTTTTGTAGTTGTGACACTCATGAGATGGAGAACCAGCAACCAATGGATTCGACTCAAGAGCCTTCATTTGTTGACTTGTTGGACGAGATATTATGATTGTCACAACCTTCAAGATGATGCAATCGAGATGAAGATCTTCAAGAACGATATATTCTTCCTCGAATAGATGGTGAGATACAATGCGTTAGGTATCACGACCTTGGAAGGGACTTCCAATGTTTGGTGATTTTACTAGAGGTAGAAACACTTCCTGATGGTATTCTAAATGTTTTATTCGAAGGAAGTTATGAAGGCATCAACAATGATTAAATAACTGGGTGGTCTTCCCACACTGGTATGGAACACTACCGATGGTTGAGAGGCCCTATCAATCATCTTCGAAGAGAACAAAGATCAAAGTATGTGGCAAATACAATTTGTCACATCATAGATTTCGTCAACATATGATTACCGCTCCTCGTGGAACTCGTCCCTAGAAAGGGAGGTAATGTCATGGACATATGCATGTAAGCCAATAATTACATGTATAAATAAGTAGAAGTAAGTAAAAGTAGATAAAAATAAGTTAATTCTATAGTATTTGGTATAAAAGCTTCCTAGAAGCTTCATAGATGCTGCTTTGACTTTATAGGTGTCTTTAATTGACTTAATATATATATCAAGTTATTTCTATTTTGTCATCTTTCTTTGAGAGAAGTCTTACTTATTTATTTGTTTTTATCATGTTTTTGTCCTTGACAGATTTTTATTCTAAAAATATTTTAATAGCCAAAATCAATTACAAGATCTACAACAAAGATTTTTTTGAAATCGTAGATTTATTTCAAAAATAGTACTATTATTTAGAAGACACTTCTAAACCAATCACAAAGTATATAAATCACAAGAATCTTGTATATTTTATGTCATTATGTATTTTGAATTGTCATCAAGTCTATTAGAGTATGTCCTTATCAAGACTCAAATTCAAGATTACTTATTAATCAAAAAAATAACAAGATTTATTAGATGCATTTTCTATAGAATCTTATCTCGCACCAAAGGAAAGAGATGTCACTTTTGATCAACAATGGATAATTTTTTTAAAGCTAAAGCATCTTTATTTTTAAGTAATGAAATCAATATTAACTATTGATTCAACTTTCTTTAAGTAAGTTTAGTCAAATATGTCTTTTGATTTTCTTATTTGTGATATTAAAAAAAATATTTCAAAGTCTTATGATATTTCTAAGTTTGAATTCAAGAATAATATATTATATTTTGAGAGACACTTATATGTTCCAAAAAGTGAAGCTTGATTATGTATTTTTCAAGCTCATCACGACTTTTCAACAGTAAGATATTTTGGATACAATAAGACTTTGGAGCTAATATTTAGAAATTTTTGGTGGCCTCAAATATGAAAAGAAATCAAAGATTTTGTACAATCTTGTAATATTTGTTCAAAATCAAAAACTCCATGTTATCGATCTTACAAATTTCTTCATCTATTATCCATTCCAAAACAACCATGGTCTTTTGTTTCTATAGATTTTATTACGAATCTTTTAGTTTTAAGTTCTTATGATTCTATATTTGTGATAATGGATTGTTTCATGAAGATTTCATATTTTTTTTACAATGTACAAAATCTATTACAAGTAAAGAAATAGTTAAGTTTTTCCTTAACAACATCTATTACTATCATGGATTATCTAAAGATATTATAATGGATAAAAAAACTTAGTTTATATTAAGATTTTTAAAAATACCTTTTAAGATTTTAAAATTAGATATAAACTATCTTTGGCTATCTATCCTCAAACTAATAAACAAATAAAGTATATAAATCAAGTTTTGGAGCAAAATATGAGATTTACTATCAATAAGATAATTGGATAATTTTTTTGCCATTGAGAGAGTTTACTTATAATAATATTTTACATTCTTCTATGTAAAAAATACCTTTCTTTGCTAATTATGGCTATCATTTATAACTTGATGTTTTTGACTTTTTATAAGTTGATAATCATATGGTGAAAGATTTGACAAATCATTTATTTGAACTATATAGAACAATGAAGGCATGACTAAAAGATGATCAAGAACAAGAAAAGATCAACACAGATGCCTATTACAAGCAACAACCTCATTTTCACATTTGTGCTAAGATATGGTTACTTTGCCATAATATTAAAACTATTTGCTCTTATGATAAGTAAGATTATTGTAGATTTCAACCATTTCTTATTTGTAAATAAGTCAATCTAGTTGTTTATTGATTATATCTATCAAAGTCTATGAAAATCCATGTCATATTTCACATGTCTCTTTTGGATCTATATAAAATAGTAAATATTTTGGAAAGAATATAAATACCACTACTTCTTATAAAAGTAAACAATAATAAAAAAATTCAAGGTAAAAGAAGTCATAGAGTCAAGGCAATGCTAATTTAAATTAGAATATCTTATTCATTGGAGTAGTGTCAAGCTCTAATATGACTATATGATAAAAATATAATCAAAAAGGAATTTTTAATTAATATTTAATTATCTTAATTCAATGATAATTTAAAATATTTAAACATGACTTTTTAAAAAGCCTCTTAATTTATTTTCTTATATTAATAGCTAATAGATTAAAAGTTGGTTGGTAATTTTATCTTTTAGGCTATAGAAACTCTTTTATTACATTAGAAAGGCCATAAATTAATAAAATTATATTATAATAAGTAAATAATTAACATGGTTGATACTAGGATTAAGTTAGAGATAAGGTTGGGCTAAAAAATCCCTAAGATAGGTTAAATTGATACTCAAGGATCAACCATTTGTGGGACAAGGGCAAAATCTGACCTCTAGCCATTAAAATGGTTGTTCAAGAAAAAATAGAAAAGGTATTTGAAGATCGGAAAATAAGATTAGTGAATTAGATTCAAGCTTATTCTAAATGTATAAGGTTTATTTTCAAAGGATTTGGAATGACTTTGTAATTATTATTCAAAGTCAAGGTTTATATTAGTGATTTGGAATTTATGCAATATAATTAAGGCTCGCACTCTTGGCTAGTTTGTGCAATTGGTGTCACATCCCCAATTCAAACTTTAATAATGCTTGGTTTATTAAGTATCTTAAGTATTTGTAAAATTTTATATTAATCTAATGATGCAATTGGAAGATATTTGAGTTTTGATACAAGAGGATATTAGAAGTTGGCAATTTGGAATTAGATAGGATTTCGATAATATATAGAATTCTACTAGTTGGATAAAGGTGAAATTTGTTATGATGGTAAAAGAATTCAATGTTAAACTACACATTAATTTTGAATTGAAGTTAATTATTGAAGAAGGAGAAATTGCAATTAGAACATTTGCATCAACTTTCAAGTTGATGGCCAAGTGACATCAATGTGGTTTTTTGGCTTTTTTTGACAATTTGTAAGTAGGATTAGATTGAATTTTTTTTGAATACATAAAAGGCTTATAGTGGCATTTCTATGCAAAATTTTGCATCAAGTGGACAATCAAATTAGAAGTTATAGCTCACCAAAACTCACTAATAAATATTAAGGCTTGTAAGGAGAAATCAAAATTACCTAATTATGAAAGTAATAAGACGATTGGGATTTAGGTATGGTTGAGATTACTAAAAAGAGAATTTTTGAATACTTTGTATTAGCTTTAAGCACTTTTGAATTAAAATTCGAATTGTATTCTTCTTATATGTGTGAAATCTATTAGGATTTTTTGAATATTTGTAAAATATAACTTCACCTTCCACAGCCAAGTGCTTAGTGTATTCTCAAACAAGACAACACATATTACAACAATGAATAAAATATTAGCCAATATATATGGAGGCCAACAAAAAATCTTACAAATATAGTAAAAAAAAGTCAAAGCTTTTCATCAATGATACCTTTAAAACTAAGATGAAGAATAGCAAACTTTTTCTATAAATAGAATATAATTTAGAAAAGATTGTATTCTCTCTTTTATCTTTGTTTGTAATTTTTATATAATTGTGGTATTAAAGAGATGGAAAATCAATAGCCAACATGTTCAAGTTAAGAGCCATCATTTATTGACTTACCAAATGAGATATTATGATTATCATATATTAATATATACATTTATATTTTCTACCTAAGAATATATTTAAACATGGCTACATGATTTTGAAATTTTTGGAAGTTGCAATAAAATAATTATATATACCTATGTTTAATTTTTAATTTTAAATAATTTTTTTTATTAAATGATGCTTTCTCAATATATGATTCTTTTTCAAAATATTCAATCTTGAGTATTAATACTAAAAAATAAAATTAATAATAATTTATATTTTGAAATTATAAAATATAGGTTGTCCAATTTTATATATATATGTTAAAATAATTTGCAATCAAATACAATCTTTGCCACAAATGATGTATTTTATAATTTTTCCAATCTTATGTAATCACCATCCTCAAATGCAATCACATAACCACAGAATCCTTAAACAAACACTCCATAAAAAAATTAAAATATAATAAAATCAAGATAAAAAGAAAAAAAACAAAATCATTTACAAATCAATTTTAATAATTCCCTTAAACAGCATAAAATAATAAAAATCCATATAAAATAAAGGTTATCATGAAAACAATAAAATCAATCAATCATTTATAAATATAAATATAAATATATAAATATATTTATATTTTCATATACATACACACGTGTATGTATTTATTTTGCCAAAACTCATAAAATTCACAAAACATCATTCATTACATTCTTGAGCACTTCACCACAAACCACTATTGTTTTTGTTTGTGTTTTTGTGTTTTGAGTGATTTTCTTTCTTTCTTTCTTTCTTTCTTTCTTGCTTACTTTATTTCTTTCTATTGTTTGTATATTAGTGCTTTTGCAACTCTTGTTTTCCCTTCATAATCTATGAAAACCTCATGGAGCATATTGCATTCGTGTTTTCTGAGGCTTGGTTTTGAGAGATTGTCGATGTCTAGGGAGAAGAAAAGAAGAGGCTTTGCTCCATCTGCTCACTCGCTCGCTCGTAGCGGCAAGTTGCAACGTCGGAGGGAATCGAGAGCTGGGGTTTGAAGGCTTGCATCCTCAATGAATGAGTTTCCATCGTCATGAACTTGAAGGATTCGTTGCAAACCAGGCTGCTCGTCGTTTCTTGCTCGATCTGAGCTGTGTCTGCCCTGCATTTTGTTGTCTTCGTCTGTGTTCTCAACGCGGCTTGGCTATGGAAAGTCGCCTGGATTGCACTTCGTTTGGAAGCATGTTTGTTTTTTTTCTTTCTACGCCGAAAGTGGGGTCGTGCTCAATATGTTTTGGGTGGTGTGACGCATTGATGGTCGCAGTATTTTGCTACCCATACCTGTCTTTGCACTCTTTCCTCACCTGATACTTGCCTTGGCCTGGTTGTTGATAGACGAATCATGGTGATGCTCTGTACCTTTTCGAGAGAATTGGGTGTCTTGGATTGGATCGAACTCTCTGAACGATCACTTCTGGCGATAGGTTGTGAAGTGTACTGAGAAGGAAATTCAAGTTGCTTGTAGGGGTGTTTGTTGTTGGAGGTTTGATGAGGAATGGAAGTGGCGACAGTGTTGTGGAGCACTGGGAGGTGTAGATGTTGGTGCATGTGTTTAGATTGTAAATAGGAGGCCGGGTGGCTGAGACCAATGTGACCCTCGTTCTTGTGACCATTTCTCTTGTTTTTGAATGGAAGTGCAGGATTGGAATTGTGACATGTCAAGTAATAAAAACAAAAAAACAAAACCATCATGGTGGTCCCGATTCTGACATGATATGTACTTGGGAGGACTCTGCAGCCCTAGGGCTTGGATGCCACTCCCAAATGTTAATTCCTACTCGCCCGCTTCTTTGGCTGTTTTACTCGCTGCGAAAATACACCGGATTCAATCTTCAACGAAAAGGTCCCCAATCCTTTGAAGCACGTGGATTGGGTAGAGTAAATACCCGATTTAACCATCAACAGAAAAGTCTATATAAGTCTTTGAAGCAGGTGGATTAGTAAATGACAGACCTGTTTTAGAATAGAGAGGGAGAGAGATTAGGAGGAGAAGGTGGAGGAAGAAGAAGAAGACAATCGGTTCTCCGTTGGAGCTAATATGTGCAAAATAGCTTACCGGCTCCTGTGTATAGCAGCTGGAGTGTTGTATCTCTTCGATCATGAGTGTTCCTGTTCGTTGCTTCAGGGCAAGCTTCTTAAACTGGTTTCAACTAAATGACCAATGTCTCAATCGATCTTTTGTTAGGCAACAAGTTTGTCGGATTCTTTCCCTGTTAAAATACCTATTTGAAAACATCAGTAACCGGAGCTTTTGGGGTGGCTATGAAAATTTTCATTACGTGTCTTACCGCCTACTCACTCTTTGATTAACGACGTGCCAGAGATCCACAAGGTTTTTTTTTACAGGAAAGCAGGGTGATCAAATTGGGGAGGAATGTACGCAAATTTATGCCTGGAACACTGTCATCACTTATTTGTCACGCTGATGCAGCTTCAACACGTCAGAAAGAGAATTCAAGATTCCCTCAGCGTAATAAAGTGATTAGCGCGTGGAGGAAACTTAGAGCACAGGTTCAAGGGATTCAGTTGAACTAACACATCTTGCTGCACGCTTAAGACACTCTCTTCCCTCGTCTGTGTATCCATCTTGCGGTTTCGGATGCAGGCAGGTCATTGGTGAGTTGGGATGCGTTAAGCTGGGTGCAGTTGCATGAATTACAAATGTTCAGACGATTTGCTGCTAAATGTTTACCCCTCCTCATACCATTATGTCATGGTGCGCGTCCTTACGAAGTTGCCTCGTGCTCTCTCTCTCTCTCTCGTGACTAGAGCCTAGCCTGAGCATGCTGAAGGCCATGATGCAGATGTCAAGGAGTCGACAGAGCTCGATGATTCTTGTAGGTGTCTTGTTAGAGTCAATTCTAAATTTAAGTGCGGTAGAAGGGATTTCGGAATATCATGTCGACAATACAAGCGGCTCGATCATTGACAGTGGAGGCAGGGAGCGGGTATTTCATGGATTGAATGTCGTTATGAAAGCATTTCCTTGGCATCCTCGCACAGACGAGTTTGATCCGCAGTTCTCCTTCACAGACGTCGACATAGCCCTCCTGCGCAGTTGGGGTGTGAATGTTGTCCGCCTGGGTGTGATGTGGCCCGGCGTCGAGCCACAACGTGGCCAGGTGAACCAGACGTACATCGAGGTCATGCGGACGGTTGTTCGAAAACTTCATGCAGCTGGCATTGCCACGCTCCTTGAATTCCACCAGGATCTTCTCTCGTCAAGATTTTGCGGGGAAGGCATACCTTCTTGGGTTCTTGATAATACCAACCTCGGTGGGACGGATTCTGAGAACCTCCTGGCTGAGATAAATGACGTTAGTTCGTCATCAGCAGGCAGTAGTTCGACTTGGTGGAGAATTTTGAGAGACATTGTCGTAAACTTCATTCCCTCTCTCTTGATGCAGTCTTCGAGATATGAGTCAAACCACAGGGCCTCAACATTCAGCGCCTCCAAGAGCTTTATCGAATCCTTCCCAGAGCCTCTAAGTGGAAGATGGCCACTACCAGATTCACCAGGAGATAGTTCTCATGAGCAGCAACCATCGGACGAGCAATGCGACAAACATTCCTGGGCTTGGTACTACTTCTCTTTCGCAGTGTCGAGAGCTTTCCAGAGCTTGTATGACAACAAATGGGGCTGGGCAGATTTGTTTGCAAACTACTGGCAAATTGTTGCAACGTCCTTCCGTGATCAGCCCGGAATTTTGGGATACGAGCTCATCAACGAACCATGGGCAGGAGACATGTACCGCAATCCACTCTTGATGGTGCCAGGAGTGGCGGATTACCACAATCTTGCTCCATTCTACGAAAAACTGCAGTCATCAATTCGATCTGTCGACCCCGACAGAATTCTTTTCATGGAGTCTATCACATTTGAAGACATCCGTTGTGGATTCTCAACAGTCCCAGGAGGAGCACAGTTTCAGAACCGAACTGTGTTGAGTTATCATTTCTATCAACCTCCTAATGTGAATTCCCGTCAAGCCATCCGCGAGCGTCTGCGGGAAAGCAAGAAGCTGGGGTGTGGTGCCATGCTGACGGAGTTTTTTGTGGCAGATCAAGGTGCAATCTCTCCTCGAAACTCGTGGAATCTATTCAACGCAGACAGGGTGGATGATGTGCTTGCCGAAGCAGATGCTCACAAACAGTCCTGGATCGCATGGGAGTATAAAGCCTTTCAGGTCAAGACAGGCTCCGTTGTGGAGCAGTCTCTCTTCACATCTTCCGGGGACGTGAACCTGTTGCTGGCCAAGAAGCTCGCCAGGACATACCCTCAAGCTGTGGCAGGCACCATATTGTCATTCTCCTTCGAACTCATCTCCTCCGACTTCACCCTCTCCTTCATTGCAGGTCGGCCTTCTGCAAGTGGTGGTATATCCCACCAGACGCAGGTTTTTGTCCACAGGCCGTTTTACTATCCCTCGGGACTTGCATTTTCTGTGAACCATGATTGTGTTCAAGTGCAAGAAACAGAGAGATTGATCATATTGAGCCACTCTCAGGCTTGTGCGGGGTTCACAGTTTCTCTCAAGATAAGTAAAAAGCCTGTCCAAAATTTTTGAACTGGTATTTGAGCCATGATCTCTCCTTCCGTTGCTTTCTTCCAGCAATGCTGTGTTTCTCAACTGAGGTATATGTGGGTATTGTCACTGAATGAAGTGAGATGATGCACACTAGTTAGTTCCCTGGCAGTGCACTAGTTATTCTTCATGAACGTCATGTTGTGATTGCGAGACTGCCCAACATGTGATGATCTCCCCATCAAATTCACTCTTCAGTCCTCTCAAAAGACCTGTCAGTCTTTCTCACACTCTCTTTTATCTTGTACCTTTGTCTTCCACCTCACTTCTTGAACATCCCTGTCCATTCTGTTGTCTTCAAACATTCAGAGATGTTCCAAACGATGAGAATCGAATTTGATTGTTCTGCTTCTGAAATCATTGGCTGGTTGGAGCAACGTTACCAAATGTACTTTAGCTGACAATGCCGGTCGATTCTTCAAAATGTGGGTTAGAAGAAGCACAAAAACTGTTCTTGTGTGTTGAGAAAGCTGGACTGTGCAGATCGGGTCGACTTTTATATTGTTGTCCAATCTCAGATACTTTACGAAGTTGAAGACACGGTTGTCAAATCCCACACAATTGTGTATTCAACTTTTAGCCGAGTCATGCCACAAAGACCATCAAACTGTCAATTTATGTCGGAATTGTATGATAGAAAAGTTGTAAGACCCTGCATGAAATTGAAGTATGGGTTCAGAAATTAAAAATTTTACAATATATATTAATGTGTAATTTGATATTTTATATATTTAAAATTATACCTATAAAAAATTTAAATAGATTTTTATACTTGTATTTGTATTTTTAGTATTCTTTAAAACTAAGCTCTCATTTAAACTTTTGTTGTTTACATAAGATCAATCTATTATTACTTTTTTGTCATTTCATTATGGACATATTTTTTTAATTAATTTATTAAATTATAGGTATTTATTTTTAAATAAAAATATACATATGTATATATATATATATATATATATATATTAATTTTTATAATAATAAGTAATTATTTTTAATGATTTAATTTCTATTTTCGGCTTTATTAATAATATGATTTAAGTATTAAATTATTTATCTAAATATTTTTTTGTTATAACTATTTATTTATTAGAATTTTTGTGTATTTTGGTTCAATAATAAGTAGTAAAAATTATTGATGGCTTCTAAACATATCCTATTAAGTTCCATTAAGTGATTATTAAATCCATTCTATTTAGCTTCTAGGTTGAGTAATTTGTAGCTTATTGACAAGTTCAATAGAGTTTTATTTGGAATTTAAAAGGATATATTTTGATAAAATCTATAATTATTTAATTTTTATGTTAATCAATATATTACATCAAATAACATTAAAATAAAAAAAATAAAAAAATAAACTACAATTGTAAGAACCTTCTCAAATCTTCCAATCATTTATACAAATATTTATAAACTTTTAGAAGCTTAATGATTTTTTGAATTTTTTTTGTAAGAGTCTAAAGTATTTTTAGTTTATTTATAGCTTCTACAATCTTCAATAATTATCTAAAACCTTCCAAAGTTTTCTATAAAATTTCATAATAAATATTTTAGACTTATAAGGTTCTTGGAGCTTCTATTAAACTTAGTAATATTAATATAAATAGGAGAGCAAGACAAAGGCAAGTTTAGTCTTATTAATACCAATTTTGGAGTTGCCAAAGTATTATTTTGCTTCTAGTACTATGTTTGATCTATTTTAGAATATAATTTTGTTTTTCTTATGATTTTTGATCTTATTGTTCTTTTTTAAGTTGTGAATTTTGTTTTATATAGGAGAATTTCCTTGCTTTTTGAAAGAAAATATCATATCTCAAAGGTTGAAAAATATTTACTTTTGACAATGTATCTTATATTTGAATAGTCTATTAAACTTGCATGTTTACATATTTATAAAAAAATTGATAATGCTAAAAGTATATAAAAAGTCATTTGGCCTTTAACAAACAATAGTAATATAAAAGATCTACAATAGTTTGGTATATGTCATAAACTTATTAGTTTGAAAAATTAATAAATTAGATATTGTGAGACATTATCTTTTCTATATATATATATATATATACATATATTTTAGAAATTTTAGAAAATAATATGTTTTCTTTTGTTAATCATGTTTGGCACCTAATAAAGATATTGTCTTGAATAAAAGATGATAGTTTATTTTTATTATTTAATAAATATAATTAAACTTAAATTCATTATTTTAAGTTATATTTTGAAATTTTGATTGATAAATTTTAGTCTTATTTTGCCTAGATAATTTATCAATCAAAATTTCATAGCATATATATATATATAAAAATATGTATTTATTTATTTATTTATTTATTTATTTATTTATTTATTTATATTTATATTAAAATAATGAATGAACATCTAGTTAGTGATGCAGATGATAATTTTGAGTTTGAAGAAAGATTACTTTATTTTAAAAACATGTTATAAATGATTTTGAGATCCACACAACCTTGTGTAGTTTAAGCATGCTACAACCTATTTATTTTAATAAAACAACCAAATTCATATTAAAGATTTATTAGTAGCTACAAATACAGAAGTTTGTAAAAAAATATATTTGATCTTGTAACACATATTCAAGAACCAGGGTTGTAAGACATCAAGCAAATGCTTTATTCCAATTACTTCTTACTTTGAGAAAATTATAGTCATAATTATTACTGGATTTTTTAGATTTTTTAATTTCTAATTGCAACAACTTAAATTTGATAGCTTTAGATTAATCTTGTTAAGATGATTCATTTTATTATTGTAATTAGATTTGTCTTAAGGAAGAAACAAAATACTTCTAATAATTTCTACAATATTTACATACGTATTTTAAAATAGTGTGACAATTTATAAAAAAATTAAATAGTATTGAATTTTATAAAAAACATCTTAAATTTTAGATGTTAAGAACCTATCTAAAAAAAGTCATCTACAAACAAATGTCAAACATAACATATAAACCAATTTTAAATAAACTATTTAAATATTTGTCTTATAGTATAAATAATTAAAAAATAATCGAATGAATTTATTTCCATTCATAGAATCTGCTTACAACAGAGGCACATATTCATCAACATAACAAACTCCATTCTTTTTAAAATCAGAGCTACTAAATTTCAGTAAATACTTCTCAAAATCAAAGATGTTGGAAGCCTGATTTCAAAAAAATTAACAATCATTTCCGTGTCATTCAAAAATAATTAAAAAATCATCTTCATGAAGCTCAGAGTTAATACAAAATTAATGTAAATTATTACTAAAAGCCTACCCTATGTTTTGAATAAAAGATTTTTTTAATTTTTATTGATAAAATTTAAAAAATAAATAATTATTCAAAAACTAAGACTATCAATGTCAAAGATATGAATCAACAAAAAATAAGTATAATCATAGATGTCCAATTAAATGTTAATTATTTTTTAATGTAAAATATAGAAGACATAGATTTCTACAACGATAAAGATCTAAAATAATTATTGCAAAATGCAAAGATTAAGGCTTTTGGATCAAGGGTGCCCAAGAATTAACATCAGGAGTTTAGTTAATCAACATGTGTTACCTATCTAGAATTGACCTTTTTGGGCAGCATTTGGAATTGGCCTCCTTTGATAGCGAGTTGGATATAATATTTGTCAGTGCTAGCCAAGCACTCATCATGTCATTTTGCAAAAACAGAGAGTCCAAGCATAAAACAATTTTTCCTTTACTCAACCAGAAAGAAACGGCAAACCCAACAGTGATGAAATACAGTCATATAATGAGGATATTCTAAGAATCCACGGATCTATAAGAAAGCAATTTAGATTGCTGTGACTCAAGTAAGCTGCGATTCATCAAAGCGTTCAAAAACATACTGGAACAAACTATCAATTTCGCCTTTCTTAAATCAAAGAATTCAAAGAGACAAAAAAAAAAAAAAGTTAAAATAAAAATTAAAAACCAAGCTTAACGTACCACTTCAAGCACTATGATTTGAAAAAAGCAGACCTTAGTCCAAAAATGCTCGATTGGTTCCTGCCAGTGCTCTATCACTGGTACTCTTCACCAGGAGAAATTTACACTTGTCAATTTAAAGTCTAGATAACCTGTTGAATCTAAATTCCAGTAACTTAACTAAGCTCTTAAGGTCTTCGAAATGACAGATTTTTGCTCATCTGTCAATGATGATGGGAAAACCACCTCGAACGTGACGAAAAGGTCACCCTTCTTGTCACTATCGAATAGTGGCATGCCTTCTCTAGGGAATTTCCTAGTTTCTTTGGGTTTTGTGACTAGGGCACTTCCGACAGCTACCTTGTGGCCATCAAGATGGGCAATATCTTTTTTAAAACCCACGAGTGCATCTAAAAGCGTTATGGTGACAGTTATATGAAGATCGTTTCCCTCTCTTCGGAATCGGCTATCAGGTTTAGTGCGAATAATAAACTTCAGGTCTCCAGGCTCTCCATCAATGACGGGTTCTCCATCTTCATAAAAGACGATTTCTTGTCCATCTCGCATTCCTTTCTCAATGTCTACTGTTAAAGATTGGGTCACGCGCTCAAACTTCACGTTAGGACATTCTTGACAGACCTGCTCTGTGTATTGTTGATACATCCCAGGTCCAATCTGTCGATGAACTACCTTATTCTTGCAGTTACATTTGCGCTTCCCAGCAGCGGGCTTCACCACGTTCTTATCTCTCCATATCTGCAAGTATTTGCAGAACATACAAGTCCTGTCACTAGGGCGCATGGTGTGCAAGAAATCATCTGAACTAGGAGAATTAATACATAATGCTTTGGAAATGCTATACTATACGCTTTGCATTCTTGCATTAACCGATTAGGTTTATGTAAAAGAATCGCATTAACCTAAACATTAAGCTTAAGCACCCAACTGAACCAGTCATTGCACAATTCCTAAAAACCAACACAAGAAATACTTCATTGAGTTACTGACTAGGTAACACATGCGGTCTAAGCTACCGTGAAAAAATAAGTTAAGTGTCTCGGTGACAGAATTTAAACGTTGATGATTTCAAATTGTCAGTTCTCCATGCTAGTCGTCTCCCTCAACATTTTAGTTGGAGAATGGTAGTTAGCAGCCACTCACAGCTTAAATGTGCTTCCGATTCGCCTTGACCGTGGATTACATGCAATCCTATAGACCTTCTACGAAGAACGGCTACTCGTAGGCACCAGCGAACAAGAAATAAATTCAATCCCTAGCAGCAAAATGAGCAGACTTGCATGTAAAATCTCCAAGCCCAGGATACAGGAAGTGAGTTGGGCCTTTTCTGGGTGATAAACCTACATAATAAGAAAGTGTGTCTCACCGAAGGAGGCAAAGAGCTGATTCGTAAAACCTCGTAAACTGTGAGGCTTTTGCAGTCTAAAGTCAGCAAAAAGCAGGTTACAATGCATCAGTTAGGATGATAATCAGGAAATAGGCGACGTATTTGCCAACCTGATATGAATTCCCGACATAGAGATCTTTCAATGTGGCATATATTTCGACTGTAACATCGTCACCCTTCAGAGTCTTTTCCTCTTCGTCCTCCTCACCACCAAATCGAAATCCACCTCCAAAAAACTGTGAAAAAATGTCTTGACCAAACCCTCCACCACCGCGGCCACCGCCTTGTTGTTGCTGCTTCAGCCCCTCCTCACCATACTGATCGTACACCCCTCGTTTCTCCCTATCGGAAAGAACCTCATACGCATTATTAATCTCTGCAAACTTCTTTGTTGCCTCTTCATTTCCAGGGTTCTTGTCGGGGTGAAACTTCAAAGCCAATTTGCGATATGCACGTTTGATTTGATCGTCAGTTGCCTGTTTCGAAACCTGAAGAATATCATAGTAACTCTTGCCAGCAGAAACTACCTCTACAGTCGATGCCGAGAAAAGAAGCAAGAACACGAAAATATTCCAGATCCGCATCGGGAAGTTCAGATCCCTCTCTACACAATCCTCAACCAAACCGACCTATACAATAAAACGAAGCTACTCTCACCAGCTCTCAAATTCTAGAGCTATGCACGAATTATCAAAGACACACCCCGAACAGACCAGCACTAGAGTAAATCACTCTCAAAGAACTACAAACCAGCTACATTCCAAATTATGTCCACTTTTTTTCCAAAAAAGTCAGCAGGTTTCTACCCTGATACATTCTGTGCCATGAAACACACACCAGACTCCCACTAACACTAAAACTGACCCGAATGACGCTACCGAAGAGCTACAATTGCCTCACAAGCACACACACGCAGCGAGCTGCTCCTCGCACATGAAGCAAAACTGATGAAACTGAATTAGGGTGCCAGTGTCTAGTGTGGGGCTGAATGGAAATGCAGGGAGCGAAGTTCCCAGAGCTCCCCTGAGGCGTTCCCACACCTTCTTCGAATGGGAACCAATGGCTTTGCGTCCACGTAGTTGGAGCCGGATTCACCAATCACGCCTTGCCATGTCACGGAGAAGCTTGGCCGCGGTCTAGGTGGTGTCGCACAGTCATCAATTCATTCGTTGAGTTGAATTTATCATTCGTTTCATTCCTGTCCGTTTGCTTTTTAGTGTGGTGTGAACAGAATTTGCTGTGTGGTTTTGAGCTTTGTATCTTAACTTGTGTGTATATTTAGGCTGGTCTTAATGATTCATTTCTTTAATTAGTAGGATAGATTTATCCATGATTTTTTTATTTTTTGTAGATAGGTTTATAGTCAATATTTTCACTTCATAAAGATATTTCCTCTTTTCAATATGTCTTACTTAAAAAAATCAGTGCATCAATTTGGTTTTTCGATTTGTTATTATTTCTTAAAATATTATTAAAATTTTCAATTCCTCTTCTATTTATTATTTACTATTTTATTTCTATCATTTTTTTTTTCATGTTACAAAAAATTGACTTTCTATATGTATTACAAAACCATTGGATTCTTCCATCAACAATAATTATCTAAGCATAATATAATAAATGAGTTTTATATTACAATTTTTAAAACCGATCAGTCTACTCTTACTCCTATTCAAGCAAATTAATTTTAAAGGATGATAGATTTGAATTGAAAGTGGTGTGTAGATTATTTTTGTTTTTTAAAAATCGTAGACACTATACAATGTTGGTTTTTATACATATGAATGAAGGCATTGCATTATATACACACGTATGTATACATATTAACACAGATATAAAAGATTTTGAAGTTATCAAATACATTATTTTTAATATTACAAAGGATAATGACGTCTAATTTTTTTAAAATAAGAAGTATTGAAGGTCAACAAATAAATTAGTTATTCTAATTTTTGAGCCTAGATTATAAATTCTTTGAACTCTTGATCCTTATGCATGTCCATGTATATATATATATATATATATATATGTGTGTGTGTGTGTGTGTGTGATATGTTAAGAATTGAACATAAAACATATTATAAATTAGATTTGCCACTATTCTACTATTTGTTTTTTGAACTTTGGTACAATAGTGACAATTCTACAAATGATTGAACTGAAAATGGATTGTGGAATACATGTATTTGTGTTAAGGCAATATAACATGAACAGATGGTTATTTCAATAATAATCCATAGTGGGAAATGACTAATTGGATGTTACATAAAACTTATAAACATTTGAAACCAAAAGCTTAAAAAATAAATAAATAACTAAATAAATTACATCTTCTATTCGTATTATTTATAAAAATTATTGGATAGAAGATGGTAACAATTTTATAAAATGACACATGCATCACACAGAAGCATAAAATTGTAAAAAGTAATAGATAAGAAGTAAACCTAAACAAAACAATGTGATTATCAACATTTTCTGTTTGCATACCTGGATGTGAAGTTTCTGATTCATTTCAAACCTGCTACAGAATCCATACTGTTCACCAGCAGTTTGTCGTGTTCATTCCTTGTTTGCAAAGTACAGTGTGTCGTGCACGTCAACAAATCTGCTTGCATTATCGGTTCACCCTTTGGTAGAAAACAAAAGTTGATACATAGTTGCATAATTTCTTGTATGTAAAACGGATAAGAGTTACAATTGAAGGCTCTGAATATTCTCCTGCGAGCAACGAACTGGGTTCGCTTACAGAGCAAGGAATTGCACAGGGCTGCTCATCCAGTACCATTTTATTTACATTCAGCTCCTGTTCGCTGTCAACAGCAACTTTGTTCTGATCACTTCTGTCACCTTTTTATGAGGATGCAATGCAGTATTAGCACTTAACTAGTCAATGGCCCACCCTTTTGAAAATTATGTACGATACGATGGTGTAAGCATCAGGACATTCGCTCAGAGATGTGTGTCAGTTTTTAAATTAGTCATTTCAGAAAGTAGTTATTAGATGATGCTATCAATATGTTCCTTGTTTCTCTTGTTGGCTTGGTACTTGGGTTAGCTGCGTTGTGGCTCCAAACGAGAGTGCAACTTTGTATAAACTTAAGACTTATTTGAGATTGTTGCCTACTGTTCACTCACCTGTAAGCCAGGGAGTTAAGAGCAGTACAGAATGAGACGAGGGTTTTGTTTTCACTACTTGAGATTGGACAAACCCAAATGCTGTATCTGGAAAATATTAAATCCATTTCTACACTACTGATTGGTAATAAGGTAAAAACATATCACGAATAGAAATTAGCGCTCCTCACTGTTTTACACGAGATTACTGCCCAGGAGGCAGCTGAGAACTGCTCAGGTTTATCTACATCACACTTCAGTGTAATGGCTTGAATTTCTATATGAGTAATGTTTCAAATCCACCTAGGGGACACTTTGGAAATAGAAAAGCTGGCACTCGCCCTAGCATAATGCCATTCGGTCAGCTCTACTAACGGCATGCTTCAGAACAATACAGCAATAATGAAGCGTTTGCTTCAGGAGCAACTGTGTACTAACTTCAATTTGTACAAAAGAATTGTATGGCTGGCAAAGAATAAGTTAGTACCTCGAACATGATGAACATGATGAAGCAGCAGAGGTAAGCTGAGACGCCTTCTCCACACCAGCACGCTGATTCCGTGCTTGAAATTTGGCCGTTTAAAGATGAAAAATCAGCTGGAGCCTCCTGTCGCTCCCTGCAACATTAAAATCCGTGTTAGTTCTTCAATGTAAACCCATACCGTATATTAAACGAGAATCAGGCACTTACTCGTTTTGCAACATTGCCCAAACTGCATGAGGGTCCCGATAACGTTTTTTTAAACTCATCATCTCATTCAATAAGGTAGTCCGCTTGAATCGACTCACTACCTCACTTCTTTATTACTGATTTTGATATTAAAATTTAGTAGTTAGGAATTATTGAACACTAGGATACTCCAAATGTCCAAGAAGTAAACTGCGGTTCATATTAAATTTTTGGTTCACACAGGATTCAAAACCATCACTATTGATCCTTCATGACAACCCAAGTGACCAGCTGTGTGTCATGGGTTAGTAAACATGTTAGCTAAGAGTATTTTTCATTCAGCAAGGTCAGTCTATACTACAGAAACATAATTTTTCTCGCTTCCAACAGGACTCATGAGTGTCGACTCATCGTCCTTAGTTCGAACCATAACCTAAATTTGAGTCTCAAAGTGACAACTTGTTACTAGAATATTCTGTCAAAATTCCAAATGATAGGTGAAGTCCATTCCAAAACAAAAGATGCGGTGGCTTTAAAGTACTAGCCACCTTGGACAGAAGCACGGTTCATTAATACGCACGATGAAGTGTGATCGCAAAAGCACGAATCCTCTCATTAACCTTTCACTTCATGAATAGATGTGTAACATAAGTTCAAATGATTAAAAATAAAACATAGCCTGAAATTAAATAAAACAACCAGTATGTGCAGGTTAAGAGTTAGATTTTCTCTCTAAATTTCTGATTACTTTCAAAAAGCCTGCTGCTGCTAAGACCTGCCCTGTATCAGGAATCAGGTAACCCTGAAAGTAAGAATAAGAGATTTGACAAGGAAATTTTGTGAAGACCTGAATAAAGTACTTACACCTCACTCTCACAACAAAAATGCACAAATTTCCAGTAAGGAGATCACAAGTTCCTATTCATTGGGAAAATGCCCTGATCAAGCAATGGGTAACTTCGAGCACATAGAGATAAAGGGCCTCTTAGGATTAAGCACCTTGAGAAGAGGACGAGTGATTGGTAACCGGCGATTGATGATCATACGCTTTTCAGTCTCTTGTCGGCCCCAAATGACAATGTAGAGGCCTGCCACTATCAGCAATCCACCAATGACACTGCAAAACCACTCAAACAAGATGTTTAGAACATCATCCGAAGACCCATGTTTTTTCTGCAGCTTCAACCATCCGAATGAAAAATAAACAAACACCATTGAATATCCTGAGAACACAATTTCATGCATTCAAAACGGAGATCCTCCAAAATCAAGCAACGATATTCGTTAATGAGATCGTCCAGTCAATTTGTGATGATACTAAAGACTGTCTTGAGGTCGCCCGGGATCTGAGGTACTGGGTAATTCCTCTAGAAAAGACCGATAAAATCGCCACACTACGAGACAGAATTCAATTAAAGCACCTAATGTTGTTCATTGAAAAGAGCAGAAGTATAATGATAAGAGAAGTTGTGTAAAACTATGGCAAAGCATGGCAAAAATTTTGTGGTCTCAGTACTTGCCTCCCCGTGTATAGCGAACTCCGCAAAAAAATTCGAGAAAGAATTGATGAAGCCAGTGGTTGAAGAGGAATATAAAGAGCAACAAGAGATGGTCCCACCATCTTGTTCGAGTACGTGAGTAATCCATAATTCACTGCCGATGCAACAACCCCCTGACAAAATACAGAAACTCTTTATTTCCAGACGGGAAGAGTAGAAATAGAACTACAAATATTTCGTATTGAGAGAAAATAAATAAATAAAAAGAAAAAAAGGAGAGGCGGTCTAAAATAATAGACCTATAACGCATGTCCTTACTGACCAAATAATCTGGTAAGAACCATCCTTCAGGTAAACATATAATTAACATTGAAGATTCACTCCCGTATCACTCCCACCACCAACAGCACATTTCACACCTTCAAGTAACACTTCCATACAACTTGCTGCAACAAACCTAACCATGAATCAAAGTAGACACAACACAAGAGAATGAGTTACAAAACACTTACAGCATAAATAACGGCTAAAGTTTCTCCACTGTTTAGCCTCCAGTCAGCCGATTCATTAGCGAAAAAGAATCCAGTGAATGTCATCAGACTTGCCCCAAACGCATAAGAATATGCTGTCACGGAGAGACTGGCAGGATATTTGATCAGCAATGGAGCCTGCCATAAACATACAGGATGAAGATCTCGTACGCTTTGTTCGTAATTTGAATTCAGTAAAACGAAAATCGACTACCAGGTCCTATTACCCCTAGAGACAAGGTCGAATGTTCATATGAATACAAAACATATTACATACTCTAGCATATAGCCTGATAATATCACATATTGTCAACAACTAGAAAGACTAAAGAAAACATACAAGACAATCAAGAGTAAAGCGCGACTGAAAGACATGATCATCAAAATCTGTACAGTAAAAACCTATGATCTCCGGTATAAAATAGCTCAAATACTCTAAAGTCGGAATCCAAACTACCAAACATCGTCAATTCATGATTGTAACCTACACAAGACCTGGCATGATGGAAAGAAAAACTAAAATATCAACATTACTTGTCCGAAGGTCACATGCCTGTAAGATATGACCAACATGGATAATTACCTGATATACTATATATATTGCCATGCTTAAAGTATTGCCGATTAAGCAAAGAACACCAAAACGCCAAAGGTCAATCCCGGAATCAATAAGAATTCCTGTAATCCATCGAACAGGCATGGAAGCAGAGTTGCCTGCAATGTCCATCCCTTGCAGATTCATATCAGATAGCCCATCACCGAGAAGAGCAGGACCCTTGTACAGGGCCATGAACAATGCACCAGCAACACACACTATCACTCCAGCAACTTTCGCTTTGCCATCTGGTCGTTCCCAGTGCAGAGTTTCTGTTCTGTTGAACCAAACAGGTCATTCCACATTTAATAAAAAGAAGGTAACCTACACACAAGAATTAATGAGATAAAATCGTCCGAGCTGAGATTTCAAGCATATCCAACACAAGAAAGACAAATAAAGCCCTCTACCAACATCATCACAAGAGATAGACATTGCAAGAGCCGCAACATAATAAATGTTCCTCATATGCAGCATTTCTCTTTCTATTAAAGACATTTACTCCATATAATGAACGTTTCATTTCTCATGCGTTATGAAGTCCTGAAAGTAACACCAAGAACTCCTCAGGGATTGGAACTAACCGGAGCAATACCGCTAGTATGAAAGTAAATACAGGAATAAGAGGCTGCGTAGCAGCAGCGAAAAATGGTGAAGTGAGATTGAGCCCCAGGGTAAAAAGTAGCTGATTCGCAAAGATCCTGCAAATTGAAATCCGTAACGCAGCACACAAGCCTCAGAGATCAGCCCATATATTCAGTAAAATGTTATAGATTTCTTGAACAAAATATACTGCATATTTTATTGGCTTGGATGCTGAAGGAAAAGAGGACTCACCCTGTTAATCCGAGGAAAAAGAAGGAAAATAAAAAGTAGCCAGATATTGGCGGTCGTACCCTCCTTCATTTGCAAAGACGAAAACAAATGTTAGTCATACCGTGAAATAAACAAGGACATCCAGTTTCTAGACTGATGAAAATCAGCATTTTCCATCATTGATAGGCTAGAAGCGCAGATAAATAATGAGATGATATCTTCAGTAGTTAAGTCTACAAGTGCTTCGCACTGTGATTTCTATAGCAAGCATACCAAGAAACATATCCAGTGATAATATAAGAGGCATACAACAGTGGCAAATTGTAGAAACTACTCACTCAAATCGTCATCTACCGACAGTAAGCCAAGGCAAAACATATAGCTCGACTCAGCGGGAAATCTAGTCGTAACTGTCGGTAATCAGCAGCCCAAGAGAACTATCAGACCACAAATTTCCACATAACACTCTCATTGCAAGTTCTTCGACAATCATTTCCGGACAATGATAAAACTCCAACATAAACGTTGCTAGAACAGCAGGGGCAAAGAGTTTGTGGAAAGAAAAATCACCTTTCAGAGCAATAAGCTAACGGCCCTAAGATTGACAGCGCAATCAAGTCTCGGAGCACGCAGAAGACCAATTGATTAAGCCCCACACTTAAAGCTAATTTCGTGATTACATGATAACCACCATAATTAAGCTGGATTAAGACTAATGCCACGTAAGGCTTCCATGCATCTCCAGCCATTGCTCTATTCAAAACCCTCCGAAATTATGCTCCAATAAACTGCAAAAATATTTATAAAAGAAGAGTCAAGACAGTGTTCTTAAAAGTTGATTATAGAAACACACAATTTTAAGCATGAATTGTGTCCTATTACACATAGCACAATACACATCATCAAATTGAGTTCGAGTGAAGAACATTGTGAAGACAAACAGACTTTCCAACAGGTTAGCCCATTTAAATGCCACGCTATATACACTCGACTGTCAATCTCCATACACGATTCAGCATTCAATCCATAATGAAAGTATGAATTCAGTGCTGGCCACCAAGCCACAATAACCATGAATCTCACAAGTTGACGTGCAGGTGGCGAGTCTCTCGTTTGAACATGTTCGGTAGATAGGTTCCCTAATGATAGTATTGACGGAAGAAACTCATGAGAGATGCCAAAGGAACGCTTGCCATTATTTAAAAAAATAAAAAATAAAAAATAAAAAATACTAATGTTTAGACCAGCAATATTGTGGCACCTATGAATGAACTCGCTTTTGTTGCATACTGTCAGAACTAGGCTTTCAATTATGGTTCGTACAAGAACCCGCGCTATTCCTTTTTCATGTATGCTGGTAATGGCGACCGTCCAATTAGACGTGCTCCGTTGTTCACATTCCCTTGGTTCTCCCAACCTAATTGCCAAACTGCTAATTTCGCCCTCAATACTTTCCATCATTTCCGATCTGAAGTTCAGAAAGTGAAGAAGATTTTTGCACGAGTCATCACCAAATATAATTCAAGCAAGTGCCATCAAACCAAAATTACCGGTCGCGAGCAATTTAAGCTCTCCGCAGACCTCACAATAACCAATCATCAGACCATTCTCCATAACCTCTAGTGATACTCTAAAGCTGAAAAAGCAAATAACAAGATCTCAGTCTCACTCTCAATCTCAATCATACCATCCTCCCTTACCACAAGAAAAACGAGAACGAAAGAAATCAAAAGTCCTAACACGGACGTGAAAGCTGTAACTTGACAATGACAACACCGAATCGTGCACTTACGTCAACTTTAATAACAGAAAAAGAAGCAAGAAACCGTCACAAGGAAGCAACGCAAATCTACAAAGAAAGATACACCCTCCGTACATGTAATTCAATCACCACGTCCTCACCAACTCCAACGCCAAATTCTTTCAAGTTCTACGCAACTCACCACTCAAACCTCCACAATTCGGCCCTTGCACGATGCAGATACGAGCTCCAAGCTAATCGCCAGCAGCTCCACTAAAACACGGGCACTCGCTTTTGGTGGAAACCAACCTCCTCTGCAGCGTGACCGTAGGAACCAAGATTGTATCAACTGCGAATCGACCGCAGCGGAGCGAGAGAGAGAGTGAAAGTGAGAGAGAGAAAGAGGGTCGGCATGGAATAAGCAACGTGTTACCAATTCGCAAATACTGATTGGTGCAGGTATCTTCGGGCGGATGCAAACCACGGACACACTCCACGTCAAAGAGCGCGAAAGCGGAACTGTGCTGTGGGAGAAACTGGCCCAGTCTGCGCCTTCGACCAGGTGTGACGCTGTTAAGCGCCGTCTGAACCGGGGTGGGGCAATGCGAAAGTATCATCTGCGCCGTGTTCACGTCGACTCGCTTGTCCCTATCATTCCCCACAATATCCTCTCCAGTGTCGCTTCTAGCCATTGGAGATGCTTTCTTCGAATGACATGGCGCAGTTCCGACGAATCCCGAGAAATTACGTGCTAGATTAGGGTCGGCGACCTCTGACTAAACCCCCCGTCCGCTTGCCCTCAGTCAAAATTAGATCTCCGGGGGACAATTCCAAAGCATGTTTTCTATCCCGACGGAACTACGGAGCATCTTACATCAAACTCATAATCTCTCAAGAAACTAAACAAAATCTACTCTCGCTATGACAAAAGTAAAATAATAATAAAATAAAACCCCTCGCAATAATTGGATTGCGCACAACTTTCCAATAAAACCGCACCGAAAAGCACAGCAATTATTTTTTAACATCAAGAGTTTCCCCAGCCAGTGAAACGAGTGCAACTCGGAACCGAAACCGCAGCCACAAACCGACTTGAGGAGCCTCTTTTCCGCAATCAAATCTTATCGGCGGCATTCAGATCAGTGAGAGCAAAAACCATCCCCGCGACGTGATTGAACGGAGTCGTGATTGAAGAAGAAGAAGAAGAAGATAAGGTTGAGATGCCGAAGAGGGACAAGAAGATGCTTCTGGATAGGGGTTGCTATTGTCCACGTCGGATGTCCACGTAGGCATGCGATTGTGAAACGTGGTCGAGTTCTTATGAACATGTGGGGAGGTGAAGAATGTCAAGTTGCTGGTATGTATTCAATTCATCCATTGCACGAGAACGTCACATGTGATGTTGCACGAGGAAAATGCTTACATGCAATGTTGCTTCCATCATCTTGTGCATTGGTTCACATTGTTTTTTGGAGTATGTTTTTAAAATGAAAAGTAATAATAATAATAATAATAACAATAACAATAATAACTTATTTTCAACATTAAAATAAGTCATTAGTACTCCAGACTGCACTGTTTTATTACCATTGTATGCAAGTTTATTATGTAATTTTCATTTTCAGTAATTTCTTTCTCAATTTCAGGAATTGAATGATTTGTTCGAAAGCTTGCATGTTATATAATGTATTTTATATATAGAAAATGAAATAAAGTGTAAGCACAATCCGTGTGCAACATCACACAACATGTGGCAAAGTACACATGTTCATTACAAATAGTTTTTTATTGTAATTATTAATTGTTTCGTGTTTTAAAATGAATAAAGTTGATCAAGATTTGACACGTTCGAATATTACTATATTTTAGAAATAAAAAACAATATTTTTTTTTCCTACCATGAGGTTCAGTCTGTGACAAATTGTCTTTGCAAATTCAATTACTGTTTAGAGAAGATCTCTTCTTTGCAATAGAAACAATTAATACTTAATCTGCTCAACTTTTACATTGATGTAGAATTATTTAAGATTTAATATTTTCTCTAATTAATTAATATGATGTTTTTAATTTTGAATCCTCTGTGATGTCAAAAGATACTTTTATAAACCATGTTACATTATGTTTTTTGCTCTACATCATAATCTATAAATTGAATTATTCCTACATAATTTGGTTGAAATCAAATTAAAAAAAATTAAATGATTTAGTAAAATATTATTTGTAATAAATTGTATTTATTCCATTTTTTTTCTTTTTCTTTTTTTCCAATCCAATGCTATTTTTATTGATAATTTTACAAAAACTAGTAGACATTTTTAGCAAAAGATTTCATATTTAGTTAGCATTTCAATATTATTTCGGTGATTAATTAAAACAAAGCCATAGCTAAACACAATATAAGGATGTCATAAAAAAATTAATTAATTCCAATCCAATCTTTTATACATACATACATACATACATACATACATACATGTAGGATGTGGCTTTCATTTTATTTTTCATTTGATTAGTTTTAAAATTATACTTTATAAGATATTTGATTTTTATTAAAATTAATATTAAAAAATAAAAATGATAAATCTGGATTGTCTTTGAAGTATTGCCAGTACTCCAAAGCTACAATTAAATATAATAATTTTTACATATTTTTTCTAACAATATAATAAAAGATACTTTTTGAAATAAATAATTTTTATTATAATTATTATCTTTATAAATTTAAAATAATAATAAAATAAATATTATATATATATATTTACATTTATATATGATTTTATACACTATAGTTATTTAATCTTAATTTTTATTTGACAATTCAAAACATATTAAAAACACAATAATATATAATATTTTACATATATGACAGTGAATTTTTTCCTCTATCCAAATTATAAAATGACGTCAATGAAGAGTTGCTTGTAATTGGTGGTGTGAAGTAGAAGTAGTAAGTACAAGAATAAAAGAAGAACAATACAAAATAAGTGAACAAATGTAATCAAGCAATTGTATACTATAAAACTAGTCACAATTTGTTTATTGGATTTTCATCCAATAAAAAGTAAATAAATATATATATATATATATATATATATATATATATATAATTCTTTTATATTTTTAATGACATATTAACATGTAAATTGAAGTTATTATAAGTAAGTTATGATAGATTAAAGATAGAGGGTAAATAATAGAAAAGTTAAGTGAATAATTTTTATCTCAAGGATAACTTGCTTAACTAGTGTATATGGATTTTGAAGAGAGGTCACAAGGCCTTAGTTTTATCTACCTACCTATATCTAAGGTACTACAACCCATGTGGAACTTGTGCACTTCTCTTTCTACATAGACTAGACTAGTTGTTGGTCCTCCTATTTTCTACTAGTAAAACTTTTTTCTTTTTTGTATTTTTGACTATACTATGGTATTTAAAAACACCCAATTAGCCTAAAAACCTTGCATGGCCTTTGAGTCTTGCTTCATTTCTTCATAATAGCTCCCAAGGTGGTAAAACTAAATTTTACCAAGGACTTGAAATCTTCTATAAAAATTCCTAAAAAATTCTAAATAAATTCTAAATAAAATTTAAAAAATAATTGAATATTTTTATATAAATAATATTTATTTAAGACTATATTTTTCTATATTTTAATTTTTTATAGTAATAAAATTAATTTATATCTACTAAAAATCCTATTTTCTATACAATTAACCAAAAGACATGAAATTCTCTTCATGCTTCTTCTAACTACTAATTAATCATTGATAGGATTTTTATGAGTAATAAATATATATATATATATATATATATATATATGAAGCCAATAAAGATATTTTTCTCAATAACTAACCCTTTATACTTAATAATAAATAAAAATACTAAACTAACTGAGATAATTGCTTCCAAGACTTACTAAGACTCTATTTTTATGAATTTTATTTCAATAAGACTTTTATAACTTATAAATGCATCTAAATTTTAATAAAAAATTAAATAATCAAAAATACTCTTTAAACTATATTTTCAATCAATCCACCAATTAAGATATATTGATGGAGCTAACAACATAGAATATTGTTGTAATAATTCTTTTTTTTAATATGTAAAGATAAATAATTTTATTTATTTTTTATATTTAAAAATTACTTCAAAATTGTAAAATCTAATTATTTCTTATTTTAAAATTTTATTTAATAAAAAATATAAAATATAAAATAAGTAGTTACTAAAACTACATCCCTTTGTTGCTATCTCATAATTGATTCCATCCATTCCTTATGTTTATTCCCTATTCCTAGCCCTTGTTCTCAATTCTTTTATACTTACATTTGAGACATATAGGTAGACAATGAGCAAGCAAGACTTACTTGCATGAAGAGAGAAAAAGTGAATAAAATAAAATAAGTAAGAATAAAAAAGAGAGTGAGATAAAGCTTAATAATGCCTATAAAGTCTTTTCAATTAAGATCTTCTTTTTCTTCTTCCTCTTTAGTCATAATATTGCAAAGTAGGAGAAAGTAGTAATGAGAGAGAAGGGACAAGGTACTTATATATCTTTATTTTTAGAACTATTAAAATAGATGATGTTGTAGATTAAGACTCATTATTGCCACCATGTTAGCATTGTTAATATCATTAATCATTATTTTCTTATTGCTTTGAATATTCACTTACTTGATCTTTACAAGGAACAACTAATTATTTAATCAATTTTATTTTTTTATTAAAAAAAATAGATTTACTATTTTAATTATAAATAAAAAAAATCGAAAGATTATATAATCTTTGAATATATTTTATAATTTATTAAATATATATATAAAAATATATATAAATATATATATATATATATATATATATATATATATATATAAAAACATACATTATACCATTATTTTATTTTTAAGATATGACATTGAATTCGAAATTATTTATTAAATTCTTATAATTAAACATATTTTTGGAGTATTTTAAGCTTTTATGTACTTTTATCTAAGAAAATAGTATTCAAAGTATTAAATTAATAACTAATATATAAAATTATAATTTAAAACTATCTTTAAATTATGTTAAGATTTTTTTCTTCTATATTATTTTAAAATAATTTCTAGCCATATTAGTATTACAAACATACATATTTATCTAGATGAGAAGTGCTAGATAGAAGATAAATGAAAATAGATTTAATATTATCTTACGAAAAAACTTCTCAGAAGCTTTATAGATTCATATTTGATATTATACATGTTTATAGTTGATTGGTAGGTTAAAAACTTTGCCAAGAAGTTAGCCATGTATTATAAATATAGATAGTTTGTAATAGAAGCTAAAAATATGGCATGCATATAAGAAACTTGCCTTATAAATTAATACACAGGTCTCACAAATTGAACACATGTTGGAGGTTCTATAGAATGTTGCCACATAGCTCCTAGTGAGATAATATACATAGTGTCACGAATATAGAATACTGATTGAAAACAAGAAACTTAAGAAGAATTGGCAAGAACTAGATTAATCAGATGAGTACAAGAACAACACTAGAGAGGTGAGTTAGAGCTTCAAGAGGTGTGTTGTCGAGACTGAGGATCCTCTCAGTCTCAGCTCTTCTATATACTACCATCTAGGAAGCTTCTCATGTAGCTTCTACAAACTAGGAAGCTTCTCAAGTAGCTTCCACAAACTAGGAAGCTTCTCAAGCAGCTTCCACAATCTATGAAGCTTCTCAAGCAGCTTCCACAAATTAAGGAGTTTTTCAAGCATCTTCGACAAACTACAAAGCTTCTCTAGAACCTTCTAGAATCTCCTACAACTTCCTAGTGTATGTCTTTGATATGACCTCTCCCTCCTTTAGCTTCAAGGTCTTCGAGAAGCACTCCTATTGCGAGTCAGTACCATTGTAAGAAGTTAAAAATTTGTTGCATAGTGTCTGCAATATACTCCAATTGTTGTTTACGAGACAAGTAGTTCATTGATCCTTGTAATCAACGATAGTATCCTATGCCTTTGATTTCTGACCAGGCATGAACTTTCGTGTTTTCATTGTAAAATGCCCTACAAACACTCCTTCGGAAAGATCACTGAAGGCAGGTTCTACTTCAAACACAATCACTAGCG